GGTTCCTAATGGAGTTCAATAAGGATCAGGCAAGCGTGTCTGAGAATAAGTCTCAAGATCCAAATCCCAGATTTGCTTTCGAAGGTTGCAGCGTTTTGCTCGATGTTAACGATGGTGATCGTCTTGTCTTCGCTCGTCTCTCCGGTGGCGCGTGAGTTTTTTCCTTCGAATCTAATTCTAATTCTCAATTCTATTGTTTTGAATTTGGTTTATTGATTTTTGATTTGTTTTTTCTCTTCTTAACAGTATATTAAAAATCGGTAATAAGAATTATTCGTTAAAGCCATTGATCGGAGCTCCGTTTGGATCTCTGTTCCAAGTCGAAAACGGAGAAGAAGGTTCTTTCCTATCTCGTATTCTACCTGTTAAACAAGGTTTGTGTTTCACATTAATCCTTAATAAACAAAAAAAAAACAGAATTTGTTTTTTAATTACAATGTTTGGTTTTATAGATAGATTGAGTTTTTGGTATAATTGATGTTTTGTTGATACAGAAAATAACAGTAATAATGTTATCGATGATTCGAGAGATAATCGAGAACTTGTCGATAATAATGAAGCTCAAAGTCTTACTGGTGAAGAAATTGAAGCTATGAGGAGGTTAGAAGAAAGACTTTGTTTATTCTCTGTGTGTTTGTGTGTATATATATACATTGGAAGATTTTTCGAACTTTTTTCGGTTCGTTTATGTGTAGAGAGGGTGCAAAAGGGGATGAAATTATTGAAGCTCTTATTGCAAATAGCAAAACATTTGATAAGAAGTTTCAGTTTTCACAGGTATGTATTATTCGGTTGTTAATCAATCTCTCTGCTTCTACTTCAAAGTTTTATAAGAGATATAATTGTTTTTGTAGGAAAAATATAAGCTTAAGAAGCAGAAGAAATATGCGCCAAAGCTGCTTCTAAGACGGCCTTTTGCTCGAAGGTATTTCTTCGGTTTTTTTGTTTTGTCTCCTTTTGTTTCTCGACTTCGTTCGTTTTGCTTATTTTTGGATCTGTTTTATGTTTACCAGTATCTGTGAAGCTTACTTCAAGAAGTATCCCTCCAGAATCGGGTAAGTACACTTGTTTATTTCTTTGATTGTATTCTGAAGATCCTGAGTCCTTTTTTCTATGTTGAAATTTGAATTTTCTCGCTCTTTTAGATATCAACCGATAGCAGCTAGTGGGAAAGGTTTAGTATTGATTTCTGTTTGTTGTGTTGTAGATTCATACGAGTAGATGCGTTATCTCTTTTGTTAACAATGGCTAATGTCACCGCATACTCGGATGTGCTTGTGGTCGATATGGTTGGTGGCCTTGTCACTGGTGCAGTGGCTGAACGACTAGGAGGTATTGAGCTTTTCTTATAACCTCTCTAATTTTCCATTCGAGCAATAGAAACTACTGCAATTAGGATTCACTACTGATTATATCTAGTAACCGTGTGTCGTAATTGTATTTTTTTTTAACAGGCACTGGTTATGTTTGCAATGCATATAAGGGAAAATATCCTTATTCTGTGGAGATGGTAAGGATGTTCAACTTTAGTGACAAGGTTATAGAGAGGTATGTTCGATTGTCTCTATGTCGTTTCGCTCTAGATTTTTGGAATCAAAGCCGTCATATCTGTAATTGACCCTTCTATGTGCAGGATCGTGCAGTCATCTATAAGCGAACTCTCGTCACCTGCTTCTTCTGAAGAAAACAATCAACAAGAAGTAGTTTATAACGCCGAGATTAATATCAATGCAAGTTGCGCGAACCTGTAGTGTTTTTACTTGAGTCTTAATATGAGAAATCTTCTGAATCTAACAAAGGGTTTGAATTGAAATAATGCAGGAACCATCTACGTCTGATATGGTAGTAGAAGAAATTTCTGTGACCGCTGAGGCTACAGTAGTAGGTGCTGTTGCTCCAGAGTGCAAAATTATCAAAGCTCCAAAAGCTGGAGCCAAAGCTTCGAAAGAAGCAATCCAAATGTGGCGTGAAAACGGTTTTTCTAGGTAAGTTAAACATAAGTGTTCCTACGAATAAAAATGGTTTCGGGTTCATAACTTTCGTCACTAATGGACACTGATTTGCAGCTTAATCATCGCTGCACAAGACCAAGATCCATGGAGCGTAGCAAAAGACGTATTGCCACTGCTTTCCTACTCTGCACCGTTTGCTATATACCATCAGTATTTACAGGTATGTCGTAAGACCAAAGCTTTTTACAGTATGTTTGGTAATTATTTTTCATCAGAACGAAATCTCATGACGATGAATGAAAAATCGCAGCCGTTGGCGACATGTATGCATAACCTTCAGCAAGAGAAGATGGCGATTAATCTGCAAATAACAGAACCGTGGCTACGCGAGTATCAGGTGCTTCCTTCAAGATCTCATCCTCACATGCAGATGAGTTCCTTTGGAGGCTATGTTCTAAGCGGCATCAGAATCTCCACCACTTCTTGACTCTATGGTTTTGCAAAATCAGAAACCGTGTCTTTTCTTTCAAAATGACTTTGTGATTGTTTTGTTGTTGTGATATAAATGCTGAGATTATAAGAAAACTTTCATTTTTTAATCTAATTTAGATTTTATAGTTATACTTCATTGAAACATTACAAGAT